TCGGAGGGGCAGTTGCTCACGCACTCCCCGGCATCCTTGTACGCCCGGCACGACACACACTGCAGGGCATCGCCAGGGGCAATGCAGCCACCAGCACATTCCGGATGACAGGGGGCACAGAACCTGTCTGCGTCTGGCTGCTCATCTGCCGCGCACTCCTCGACACAGACCTCCCCGGAGCGGTAGTTGCGGCAGCGCAGGCAGTCGGAGGCCGTGGGGCCCGTGCACCCGTCCGCACACTGGTCGTCGCACGGCATGCACCCGTCTGCGGGATCTGTCACGGTAATGTGGTTGAACTTGCACACGCACACGCTGTTCTGCCGCACCATCCCGGTGGGGCAATCCGCCACGCACACGCCGTTGTGCTCGGCAAACGTGCAGCCATCACTGCCGCCCTTGCACTGAGAAGGAAGAGGGCCCGTGCACCCAGCGGAGCACAGCACGCTGCATGGCAGGCACTGGCCGCTGGTGGTGTTGGTGTACGACCGGTCGGTCGGGCAGCGGCAAACGCCGTCCGTGCCAGGCACCCACCCTGGCGGGCACACGTCCACGCACTCGCCCTCCTCCGTGCGGAAGCGAGCGCACTCCACGCAGGTGAACGGCGTCTCGTCACGGCAGCCGCCACGGCACCGCGAGTGGCAGGGCACGCACGTGCGCGGGACGGGCGTGTCTGCGACAAACGTGTTTGCGCCACACGTTTCGACGCAGGTCACGTCGCCGGTGGCGCCGTCCACTTGGGCGAAGTTCTTGCAGCCAAAGAGGCACTGGTCTGGGCCCGCCCCCGTGCAGCCGCCAGCAACGCACTGCTCGTGGCAGGGAACACACTGCACCTCGTCGGGAACAGACGTGTCGTCCACGCCAAAGTACAGGCCCACATCCACATCTGTCAGCGCAGAGCAGTCGTCCACGCACCCGCCGCTGTAGCGCGCGCCCGCACACACGTTGCACTGCTTCGGCTCTGGGCCGGTACAGCCAGCAAGGTCGAGGTCTGTGGAGCACGACGCGCTACAATCAGCACAGGTGCGGTCGGGAGCAAGGTACTGCGTGGCGGGGCAGCTGTTGCAATCGGCGAGGGTCGGCCCCGTGCAGCCATACTCCAGCGGGCACAGCGTGCTGCACGCCCGGCACACCCCGTTGCTGTCGGCGTACTTCGTGATGGGGCACTCTGCCACGCACATGACGACGCCGTTGGCGAGGATGTCCACAAACGTTCTGCAGCCAAGCGCCTCCGCGCTCGAGTCAAGCACGTTGCTGGAGCGCACGCACTGGTCCGCGCCCGGGCCCGTGCAGCCAAGCAGGCAGTTTGCATCGCAGTCCAGGCACTCGCTGCCACTGCCGAGGTAAGTGAGGTCTGGGCACGCCGTGCGGCAAACGCCCTGGTAGGACACGTGCGCGCACTCGTTGCACTCGTCTGCGCGGCCCCCAGTGCAGCCGCGAAGGGGATCGCAGCTTGGATGGCACGCCTTGCACACGCCACCAAGCGCCGTTTCCGTGTCTGCCTCGTCTGCGTATGTCCCGGTCGAGCACTCGGCCTCGCACCGCCCGTTGTCACGCACGTGCGCGCACACCACGCAGTCGTCGGCGCTGGTGCCCGCGGGGCAGCCGCCCGAGCCCGCGCGCAGGCTGCACTCGCGATGGCACGGCAGGCACTCGGCCGTGGCTGTGGAGGTGTATGTCGTGTCCGCGTCGCACGCGGCAACGCACTCGCCGCCAAATTCAAAGTTGCGGCAGGTGAGGCACTCCGTGGCCTCCAAGCCAAAGCAACCATCGCTGCTGCACTGCGCATGGCAGCCGCGGCACACGCCATCCACGGCAACCTCCCGCGTCAGGCATGACCGCACACACTCGCGCCCGCGCTTCACGTGCGCACACGCAAGGCAGGCATCGGCGCCAGGGCCCGTGCACGCGCGCGTTCCATTGACAGATGCGCACTCTGCATTGCAGCGGCGGCACAGGCCAGCCTCGTCGCGGTAGTGGGTGAGCGGGCACGTGTCGACACATGTGCCGTCAAGCTCGGCACTGGCGCAGGCGCCGCAGTCTGCTGCTGTTGGGCCCACGCACCCGTCCGCACAGAGCGGCGAGCACTTCTGGCACACGTTGGCGTCGTCGGCATACTCGGTCAGGGCGTCGCACGCAGCAACGCAAGTTGCACCGCGGGTAAAGTGCTTGCAGGCAGAGGTGTCGTTTGCGCCGCGTGCACAGCGGGAGGGGCCGGGGCCAGTGCACAGCGATGCGCACATGGGGTCACAGCGCTGGCACTCGCCGTCAACGTCCGCGTAGAAGCCATCCGGGCACTCGGCAACGCATGTGTCCGCCAGCTTCACGTTCAAGCACTCGCGACAGTTGTCGGCGCCCGCGTCAAGGCAGCCGCCGCTGCACTCTTCATCGCACGGCAGGCACTCCCGGTCCCGCGTGGCAAAGGTGTTGCTTGGGCAGGCGGCAACGCACGTTTGCGTGGCGACGTGCAGGAAGCGGGTGGGCGCGCACGCGTTGCATGCGTCGGGGCCAACACCAGAGCAGCCCGGCTCGTCCAGGGAGCAGAAGCGGTGGCAGGGCAGGCACGTGTCGTTCATCATCACGTACGTCTCCGGGCACGCGCCAACGCACACGCCCTCCACCTCAAAGCCGCGGCAGGCGAAGCAGCTGTCAGCACCAGACGAGAAGCAGCCGTCCGCACACTCTTCGCTGCAGTCCTTGCACACGTTTCCGTCGCGGTACGTGAGTGGCGGGCACGTGCTGATGCACTCGCCATCGTACTTGACGCTCTCACATTCGTCGCAGTCATAGGCGGTTGGGCCCGCACACCCGTTGAGGCCGCACTGCGGGTGGCACGCAAAGCACTCGTAAGGGGCAATGGGTGCGGTGGTGTGGTTGCGTGGCGGGCGCGGTGGGGCCACGCTGGCATCGCCGGAGCTGCCAAAGTCTGTCACCGGGGAAGCAGTCGTGGTGAGGGCGCCACCTGGAACGGCAGTTATGTAGGTGGTGGCTGACGGGCACTCGCCCACACACTTCACGCCAAGCCGATGCGACTTGCACCTGAACCAGGAAACCCAGGAGGTGGGAGGTTGAGAACGTGAGTGAGTGAGTGAGTGAGTGAGTGAGTGAGTGAGTGAGTGAGTGAGTGTAGGTGTGTGAGTGTTTGTGCGTGCGTGTGTGTGCGTGCGTGTGTGTGCGTGCGTGTGTGGGTGTGTGCGTGGTGTGTGTGCATGGTGTGTGTGCATGGTGAGTGAGTGAGTGAGTGAGTGAGTGAGTGAGTGAGTGAGTGAGTGAGTGTAGGTGTACATAACCGTCAGATACTTCACCGTCAGAGTGAAAGACAAAGCGCACTCCAATGTATGCTTGTGCGTGCGCGGAGAAGCGTGCTGGTAAAACAAAGGCACGCGATCTCCCCCTCAAACGTCACCGGCACACACACATCCTCCCCACCTGAAGCACTCGGCAGCGGACGAGCCAAAGCAGGTGGAGCAAAACGGGCTGCAGGGCTGACACACGCGGTCTTCATCGGCAAAGTAGCCCGTCGGGCACGCGGAGAGGCAGTCACCGTTGAGCGACACACCCTCCTGCCGGCAGTCGAAGCATTGGTCGCGCCCAGGGCCATAGCACCCTTGGGTGTGGTTGCAGTTGGGGTGGCAGTCAATGCACAGCTCACCATCTCTGTACGTGTGTGTCGGGCAGGCCGGCACGCACCGCCCGTTGTAGCTGGCTGCAACACAGCCGCCAACGCAATCGCTAGTCGTGGGCCCGTCGCAGCCAAACTCGCACTGGGTGCTGCATGGCTGGCAGACAGCGGCATCCTCGACGACAACAACCTCCGCATTGGGCTGCTCCGTCAGCAGCGTCATGCGGGTTGCATGGTACAGTGGCGGGCAGGTGGAAAGGCACACATACGGCACAGCGTCGCGGCTGACGTCGTACACGCCATCGCAGCGGAAGCACTGCGTTGCATCCGGACCCGTGCAGCCAAACTCAGCAACGCACTCAGAGCTGCATGGCTGGCACACCCCGCTGCCGTCGGCATACGTGCCCTCAGGACACTCGGCGACACACACGCCGTTGCTGCGCACATGGCGGCACTGCTTGCACTGTCATGGGTGAAATGTTGAGGGTTTGGAGGAGGAGGAGGGGGGCAGGGCTCGTGAGTTGCACGTGTGGGCTCAAAACAAATGAATTGTGTGGATGGGAAGGTTGACAGAAAATCACGCACACAAAGAGTTACGGACATGATGATGAGCGCAACACAGAGCACAAGTTCACTCACCCACCTCTACACACACCTACACACACCTACACACACACACACACACACACACACACACACACACACACACACACACACAAAACGCAACACGCGGTGTGCGGCGAACCTGTGCTGGGGTTGGGCCGGTGCAGCCAATGCATTCGTCGTGGCACTGCTGGCAGACGAGGTTGTCATCTGCATATGTGTTTGCCGAACACTCGGCAACACAGAGGCCATTCTCTTCAAAGTTGCGGCACTGGCTGCACGATGCGGTGGACGCCGTGCCTGCGGTGCACGTGTCCAGGCACTGCGGGTGGCACAGGCGGCACACGCCCTGCTCGTTGGCATAGCGGCCGTCTGAGCACGCGTCAACACACACACCATCCTCCTCGACGTTGCGGCACTGGCCATTGCACGCTGCGAGCGAGGCGCCGGGCCCGTTGCAGCCGGCTGTATCGGAGCACTGCGGATGGCAGCCGATGCACACGCCGTCTTCGGTGCCGGCAAGGTGGAAGTGGCCCACGCTGCACTGCTCAGAGAACCCGGGGAGGGGCAGACGTAGGTGGTGCATGCGTGTGCACGTATGTGTGTGTGTGTGTGTGTGTATGTGTGTGTGTGTGTGTTGGGGGGGTGAGAAGTGATGTGGTGAAGAGCAACAGCAATACACGAGCACAGACACGCCAACAAGCAAGCAAACAGGCAGGCAGGCAAGCCAGTCAGCCAGATTGGAGGCAGCAGGCAGAACAAGACATGTTGTGTGCTGACCTCGCTGCATCGCTGACCCGTGTTGGAGGGCAGGCACTCGCACTGGCCCGTCGTGGCGTCGCAGTCCCTGCTACCCTCAATCGTGCCAAACACAACGCAGTCGCAGCTCTCACACCCCTCGTCGTGTGCAAGGGAGAGATCGTAGAACGAGGGCTTGCACATGTCGCACAGGTCACCCATCACGTTGGCCTTGCATTCACACGCGCCTGTCTTGGGATTGCATGTGCTGCTCTCTGATCCGGCTGCATTGCACTCGCACGGGATGCACGCATTCCTGACAGCGAGACACATATCAAGAAATAAGGCACTTGTTCGTTAGGCGACGGGTGCCCATGTGTGTGTGTGTGCATATGTGTGTGTGCGCGCGAGCATGTGTGTGTATGTGTGCATGTGTGCATGTGTGTGTGTGTGTGTGTGTGTGTGTGTGTGTGTGTGTGTGTTGGGCAGGTGGGCGTTGAACGAGACGCACATTCACTGAACCATCACCATATAACTCGGAACACGTTGTCAATCAAACGCATGGTGATACTCACACATGGTTGCGGGGTACGGCTGGGTTCTCGTAATAGCCCGGTGCACACGTCTCGCAGTGGATTCCAGCCTGGCGGTGCGATGGAGCAGCAAAGGAGGAGGAAGGGGGCGAATGCATGGGGTGAGGGCACGCTTGGATTCGAAGCGCACACATGCACGCACGCAAGCTCTCGTGCACTTCAAGCACATGTACACACACAACTCGCACACAAGATACAACCACACGACACACAACACACGACACACATAAGATACAACCAACCACACGACACACACGCACATGTACGTGCAGACAATGCCACGTTCACGGTCTGCCTGCGCAACTCACTGTGTTGTGCATGCAGCTATCACAGACGCCACCGTCGCCGCGGGTGCGGTCATTGGGGAACGCATCGAGTGAAGCGTTATAGTGGCAGCTGAGCGCGTGCTCGTTGCAGTCGCACGCAACCTGCATTCATGGACGTTGAATGATGCAGACAGCGACAAGCAGAGATGGACAGTCAGGAGAGCGAAAAGAACAATGCCCAACGGCAGGCAGCAATTGTGGAACAAAGTGAACACGCAAGTGGCACAACACCCAACGCCAGCATGCGTGTGTGCTTGCGTTACATGACACGAGACACTGTGTGTGTGTGTGTGTGTGTGTGTGTGTGTGTGTGTGTGTGTGTGTGTGTGTGTGTGTGTGTGTGTGTGTGTGTGTGTGTGTGTGTGTGTGTGTGTGTGTGTACTCTGACGTACGCAAACGTTTGGCTCATCGTCGGAGATACCGCGGGCAAAAGGCTTAGCGTTGAAGAGCGGCAAGCACTCGCCACACGCAGGACCACCCGTGTTGTGCTCGCATGCACATGCGGCGCTGTCGACGTCAACGGAGCAGGACGCGGCGTGGCCGTGGCAGCCGCACCGGCCCTCCACCTGGATGTTGGTGACCGTGTAGAACGGCTCGTGGTCGAGGGGAACACCAAAGTCGTCCACAGCGGTGGTCTCGTCATAGTACTGCGCAAAGGCAACGCGGATGAAGCGCGTGTGCACAAAGTCGTGCAGCACGTCTGACGCCGCATACGACCCGCCGGCTGCATGATGGTGGTGGTGATGGTGGTGGTGGTGTAGAGAAGAGGAGGAAGGGGGAAGGGACGGTTATTGCAGCTGTGGGATGAATTGAAGAACACTAGTACGGAAGCAAGACACAGGATGATCATCAACGCATGTGACAACCACTTGAGGGCGTACCGAGCTGAATGCGGGCGGCGGTGAGGGTGCGCAGTGAGATTTCATCGTTACGCACGCTCGTCTTAGTTGTGTCGCAGATGACTTGGTCGGGCTCTGTCAGTTGCCTGCCAGAAGCAAGCATGCACAATAACAACCAAGGGTTAGGCATTGGAATGAGGCTCATAACGCCGCATTCGGGTGCGTGTGTGTGTGTGTGTCTGTGTGTCTGTGTGTCTGTGTGTGTGTACACAGGAAGGAACACAAGGTGTGTGGTTAAGACGCACTGGTCGGGAGCGATGCCGTAAAACTCCTCGCAGTCGCGCGTGAAAAACTACAAAGGTGGATGTGGTGCAGGCACTGATGAGAAATCCAACAAGCTCAAACAAACGTGGCACATGTGATGCTCGATGCACCAACCACATGTATGCACAGGACACACCTGAACGCGCACGAACACACAACACGCACGAACACACAACGCGCCCGAACACACAACACGCACACACATGCTCCTACCTGGAAAGGCTCCCAGGTTTGCGCATCGTTTGACTTGAGGATGGCAAAGGCGTATGGTACGCGCTCGCTAAAGGTGACGGTGATGGTGGTGACCTCATAGGGAAGAAGCAAGTCAAGCGTGACGTTCACGCGCGCAGCGTTCTGCTCCGACTGAAAGTATGTGCCCTCATCGGCGTCGACAGCAAACTGTGGCGGGTGGGCTTCAGTATTGATGCGGCGGACGCACGACTGTGCAGCTGCCGTCTCGCAGCAGGAATCCAGGTCCACAGGCACCGGATACGATGCCGGGCACCCGCACTCCGGCTGTGTGTGTGGGGGTGGGTTTGGGGGGGGGGTGGAACCAACACAGCAAGCACGCATGAGAAAATGCAAGCCATGCAAAACGCATGCACAGATGCAGAATGGATGCCAACACCATCGCACGCGCACGCACACGCACGCATACACGCACGCATGCACACGCACACGCACACGCACACGCACACGCACACGCACACGCACACGCACACGCACACGCACACACCTACCTGAGGGAGGAGGCCCTCGATGGGCGACTGCAGTGCATCTGCAGATGGAAAGGGGCAGGTGGCGTTGCAGGTGAAGCACTGGCTAGCCTCTGAGTAGCAGTAAGTGTCTGCTGGCGAGCCACATGTGCTGGTGCTGATGATGGGCCTGCCGAGTGCCGCTGTGGTGGTGGGCGAAGGATTCAGAGCAGCGCTTGGCATGCATGCGCAGCACAGCACCACCAACGCGGCGACGATGGCGGCACACGTCATCGTATGCACACTCCTGGTGACTGTTGTCGTCGTTGTGGACAAGGTCTCCTTCAAGGGTAGGTCCACAAAGAAACAACCGTCTTGGTTGTCTTGCCTGCTTTGTTTGCTCACCAACAGGGTCACTTGGGTTGTTTGTGTGCTTCTGGAGGGCTTGGTTGCTTGGCCTTTGTGCTTTGTGGTCGAGAAAAGGGACAGGGAGAAGGGTCAAACAATCGCTGCTCTGCTGCCTCCTGCCGTGACAATGCTGGGAGTGGGTGGGGCGCTCAGCTCAACTCACGACCAACAAACAAGCAAGCAAGCAAACGACGCAACGTGGTGGTGGTGGGCGGTTGACGATTTCTGTGTTGCGCGACCATAGCACAAGCAGAAAACGGTGCAGCCACAACTTTTCTTCCTGTCTGTTGTCGTGTGTGGCAAATGTTAGTTTGCCATAAACTGTCAGTGTTTTGTTGGTAAACTCGGGGACGTTTCCGTTGCGCGCAACCAAAGCACCAACAACGAGAGAGAGAGGAAGGAAGCAGCGTGGCTCCTCTCCTCGCCTCGCTCACGATCATTGTTCTCCTCACATCAATCAACAGCAAGAACCCGTCCCACCTCCGACGAGGACACCAGACACACCACGAAAGCGCTGAAGCGAGTCGCGTGGGCGGTTGGCAGCGGCTTCGGGTGCATTGGGTGTGTTGTTTCGTTCCTTCAGTCTTTCAGTTGAAGCGTATCAGTTCAGTTGAATCCTCCTCCTCTTCCTACTCTCTCGCTCTCTCTCCTTCTCTTTGAGCGTGCGCGTTGTCTTCTCGCTTGCTCGCTGTCGTGTTCTCCTCTTCTGTTGCATTTCACGGCAAACAAGCCAGCAAGCCGAAAGGGAAGGGAGGAAAGATGAATATGTTGAGGACACGGTTTGGGTCGACCCTGCTTGCCGTCGTGCTTGCAGGCATGATCGGCCTCGTGGTCATCATGCTGCAAGTTCACACGGGCAGCGACAGGGGTTCCAGCAGCAGCAGCAGCTCGCACCAGTATGGCGTTCACGCAGGCGCGACCGGAGGAGGTGGCCGGGCCCGTCGCGACATCCGCGGCACGACGCTCAAGTCCATTCACCAAACGCTGCTGCATGAACGCACCAGCAACGAGGCCATGTATGACTACGACTTTACGTGGAGCATTTTCATCACCCCTCAAGGATTCTCGGGCCTGCCCAATCGCTTGCAGGTCAGAGCTCCGTTTGCGCTTGTGTATATGTGCTGGGTTGTGTGTGTGTGTGTGTGTGTGTGTGTGTGTGTGTGTGAGCTTGCTTTGTGTGTGTTTGTTTGTGCTTGCATGCACATGTGCGTGTGCAAACCCAATGCTTTCGCTTTGCTTTCTCGATTGCTTTCGCTTTGCTCGACATCCTCCCGCTCAATTTGATTGCGTCCCCTCGCGTTGTTTCCCTCCCCCCCCCCACTCCAACTTGCCGTTGTGCTGTTTGTTGCCTGCCTGTTAGCGACGCGCCATTGAGTCTTGGATCCGGCTCAAGCCCCGCCCAAAGGTCGTGCTTGTCGGCCAAGGCGAAGGCTACGAGGAGGTCGCCAAGGTATCGCACCAAGCTGTCCCATCCAACTTGTTTCATCGACACATGTAGACAAGAGAGGGCCGAGCGTGTGGGGAGGGAAAGGCCTTTCCTTGTTGCACCAAGCATGATGTCTCACCCAGAATCGTGCTATGGGCGCCCCTAGGATTACGATGCCATCATCAACCCGCACTTGGACATGAACTTTGTCATGATGCCGCTCGCCGGCAGCCTGATCGACACGGCAATGAATGCCGACACTGATGTGAGTGTGCTTGTGTATGGTTTGTGGCGTGCATGCAAGCAGGCACCGAGTGTGCAGTGGTGACTGTTGCGCGCTTTGAGCGTGGCAAGCAGAGTCTGAGTACTTATCCACGTCACACACACACACACAGGTGAGTGTGATCCTGAACAGTGACATTTTGTTGACCCAATCGTTTCCGGATGCCGTGGCCAAGCTGCGCACGCACTTCGACGACTGGTTCCTTGCCGGAGCACGGTGCGTCACAGCTGCTTGCCTGCAAGCAATGATCTTTTGTGATCTGGCGGCAACTAGCTGTTGCTGCTTATTGGGGGTTGCGTGTGCACGTAGTTCACGTTTCTGTCATGTCTCGTTGCCACAGGTATGACATTGATGACTTGCCGAGCATATATGAACCTTCACGCAAGGACTTCAACGAGGCAGCCTTTGTTGCCTACACCAAAACGAAAGGCGTCCTGCACACCGCTGGCGGCCAGGTTGGACCTTGTGTGCGTGTGCGTGTGCGTGTGCGTGTGCGTGTGCGTGTGCGTGTGCGTGTGTGTGTGGGTGGGTGGGTGTGTGTGTGTGGGTGGGTGTGTTGGTGTGGGTGGATGGGTGAGTGGGCGGGTGTGTGTGTTTGCTGTGGGTATGCGTGTTTGCTGCGGGTGAACGTGAACATGAGTGTGAGCGTGAGCGTTTTTGCTGTGTGCGCGCTGTTCCCGGATGAATGGAGCGAAGTTGAAAGCATTGTCTCAGCCAGCTGTCTCACTTAACGTCACACGCATGCGTTCGACTTGTACACTCCACCACAACTGACAATGTAGGATTACTTTGCATGGAACAACAACGGAAAGAAGCTGTTTCATGGCGTTATGCCGCCTTTTATTCGCGGCAAAAGCAAATGTAAACACTGATGCTCTCGTGTTCATGTCCATGCACGCACGCACGCACGCACGCACACACACACACACACACACACACACACACACACACACAACACACACACATGTGAACAGGAGACGTACGCATCCGTACCTGCAAATACACATGTGCATGTGCCTGTTTTGGCTCACAGCTCGCCTCACGGGTACATGTTGCTGCTGTGCATGCGTTTTCTGCAGTCGACAACTGGTTCGTTCACGAGGTGATCCAAGCTGGATACCGGGACGTCATTGATGGAACAGAGGCTGTCACCGCTGTCCACGTCAACCACAACTACAAAAGGTACACTGCTTTGTGTATGTGTGTGTATGTGTGTGCATGCACATGTGCGAGCTGGTGCGACACCATATGTGACTTGCGGCATGGCGCCGCTTGGTTGCCAGGGAGCTATCGCAAGATCGCAACAGTCTCACATAAGCACCACCGCCACCGTGTGTAGTGCCGAGGGGGCGGTATCCAAGATGGCGACCGGTGGCAGCGCCACGTTCTGGATGAAGTCCAAGACAACCGACTGGCAGATCTTCCACAACAACCACCTTGCCATCTACTACGGCAGTTACCGCAACCAGGACGGCACAACCGTGCACGCGCCGTGGAAGCTTGCAGCGTGCATGGAGCCCTCTGGCATGTGCCTGATGAAGCGCGTGCGTCCAGGCATCTGCCCGTGCGAGCACAACGCGTTTGCAATCACAACACAGAATGACCCGCAGGTGGCCAACGTGTTCGAGAACGACGTGCGCAAGAACATTGTCAAGTGCGGCAGCGTCTCTGTGGACAAGACAGACGCCTACACCATCCCGGTCACCACGCCACCGGGGCACGAGCCGCGTTATGGTCTGCCCTTTACACTCAAGGACCTGCTGCCCATTGTCGCGCGAAACAAACACGTCATCCTCTCCGGTGTCAGGTGTGTCTTGCGTGTTGTTTATCATGCGTGCATTGTGTGAACGCAGGCCACGCATTGTATGGGTGTGAAACTGTTGCGTGTGTTGCATGTGCTGCATGTGTTGCGTATGAATGCGGCACGCAGATGATGTGCTGGTGGTGGTGGTGGTGGCTGCGTTGGGTGCGTGATGTGTGTTTATCGTTGCGCGCCAATTCTTGTTTGTCACAACTTGCTTTTGCATGCATCTTGCTGTTGCTCACTGTGCAACACCAATCTTCCCAATGCGTTCCTTGTTTGCCTGCATGCAACGACAGCTACATTTATCGCGATGTGGTGATGAACTTTGTGTGCAACCTTCGTCGGCTTGGCATCTACGATCAGCTCATACTTGCCGCCTTTGACGAGGAAATGTACAGGTGCGCACGATGCGTCGGTATCTGGCGCAGGGTGGTGTGGGGCTGCGCTGTTGTGTGTGTGTGTGTGTGTGTGTGTGTGTGTGTGTGCGTGTGTTTGCGTGTCTGTGTGCATCTGTGTCTGTCTCTATGTGTGTGCGCGTGGATTCCTCTGTGTGTGTCAAGCTCCTACGCTCACCGCCAAAGCCAACACGCTGCTGCCGAATCTCGTGCTGCTGGGTCAGGTTTGGATTCCGCATGGGTCTGCCCATCTTCTACTATCAGAGCGACGACCTTGCTGGTCTCTCGTCTCGCGATCTTGAGTACGGAAGCGACGCCTTCAAGAAGGTGAGGGCAACACGCACGTGCGCGTGTGTACGTCGAGTTGTACGAAGAGCTCTATTGATGTCACATGCGTGTTGGAGTTCGTGATGCCCCCCCCCCTTACTTGTGGTTTCTCGGTAGTGCCCCTCTTTTAGTCTTTTTGGATGCATTTCTTTTGACAGCCCAATCCTGTCCGCCACCACTGTAATGTAACCGCTCACACATGTGCACATGCGCGCCTGCCTGTGCTGCACTGTATGCAGGTGACCAAGCTCAAGTCACAAGTTGTGCTCCAAATCTTGCAAATGGGATATGATGTCACCTGGACAGGTATGTGTGTATGTTGTGTGTGTGCGTGTGTGTGCGTGTGTGTGTGTGTGCGCGTGTGTGCGCGTGTGTGTATGTTGTGTGTGCGTGTGCGTGTGGGGGGGGGGCATGCGGCCTTGTTTGCTTGGTTGCATCATTGTGCCGTTCGTGCCATCCTCGCACTTTTGGTCAGCACTACATTGCTGCAGCAGCAGCACCACACACCAGGATATTCGTTCCCTCACATCTGCCTGCTCGCCTGCTGCTGTGACGACAGATACGGACATTGTCTGGTTTGAGGACCCGATTCCAAAGCTGATGGCCATGGTGGGTCTTGGTGCTGGGTGTGCGCGCTCGCTCACTCGCGGAGCGATGTACAAAGTTGTTTGTTTGCCTGTTTGTTCTTGTTGCGTGTGCGTGCCTGCATGCTGCACGTACATTCATTTATGTTTGTGGCGTGCGTGAGCCCTGTGCCCATGCGCTAACGCCTGTCGCTCACGTCACCTTAATAACACATCACCTTAATAACACACTCTCTTTCTCGCAAAATTTGCGTGCACGCACAGGAGTCTGACTTTGTTGTGCAGAGCAACGCCCCCTTCCCGGACGAGCGTGTGGCCAATGGCCCTCTTCGCATCAACTCCGGGTTTTATCGCGTCCGCTCCACACCAGTCACCATCGCCGCAATGCAGCAGGTACGCACGTGGTGTGTTGTGTTGTGTTGTGTTGTGTTGTGTTGTGTTGTGTTGTGTTGTGTTGTGTTGTGTTGTGTTGTGTTGTGTTGTGTTGTGTTGTGGTGTGTTGTGTTGTGTTGTGTTGTGTTGTGTTGTGTTGTGTTGTGTTGTGTTGTGTTGTGTTGTGTTGTGTTGTGTGTTGTGGTGTGCTGCGTGTTCGTCTGTCCACCTTGTCTTCGTGTGTGTGTGCGCGCAAATTCTGCGGCCGCTGGTTCGCCGTCCACCAACCCCAGTAATGTTTCACCGACAACTGTGGATGTTTCTCACGCGCTGCGCCTTCGATGCCATTGGAACCATACTTTTCATGTTGCAGATTGTTGCGCATGCTGCCTCGAGCACCATGACAGAGCAGCCCTCCTTCTACATCGTCCTGTGTGGCGGGAAGGAAGGCACAACCACTGTCGGCGATAACAAGTGCCACTACCGACCCCCGCCAGACCTCATCCCACACGACCAAGGTATGGCTGAGTTGACAACTGTTTGCTCTGCATGCGGCCTGCCCGTGATCTGCCGTGTCGTTGTCTGCAAGCAACGGTCCCAAGATGGAGGCCAACGTGCTCGTTTCTCGTTTGCTACTCGCTCTGAAGACCTGGGGTGTATATTCACATGACACGAACATACACGAAACCGCACACAACGCATTGCCTGCAGGCAATGCACTGCTTGAAGTTGAGTTCCTTGACCGGCGGCAGTATCCAAACGGCAACGTGGGCGGCTATTGGAACAGCGACAACATCCACGTGCGCCACCCGCAGATTGTTATTCTGCACAACAACTGGATCAAGGGATTGCGCGCCAAGATTGAACGGCTTGTGCTGCGCGGGCTGTGGTACTACGACAGGGACAGGGAGATTTGTAACTATGACGACACGCCGCAGTTCACGTTCAACTGGTCGGTCGATGTTGAGGATGCGTGAACTGTTGGTGTGTGTGTGTGTGTGTGTGTGTGTGTGTGTGTGTGTGTGTGTGTGTGTGTGTGTGTGTGTGTGTGTGTGTGTGTGTTTGTGTGCACGTTTGTGTGCGCGAGAGACGTGCACGCGTGGCTGCCAGTGCGACAAGTAAACTTTGGTTCGAATTCGCGAGCGTTTGGGGCTCCTTGTGGGCGTGGGCGTGTGCGTGGGTCTGTTCGGTGGTCATCCAATGGCTGGTGCGGTGTAATTCGGTGAGAGCATTTCACATTCACACTTGCAGTCTGTACAGAAGACAAGAGACAAGTCAAAACAAAATCACAGTGCAGAACAAAAAGGCAGAATGTACAACAGCAACAACAAGCAAACGCGAGGTAAAGATGGCAAACAACAGCCAGTGCAGCGGCAGGCGAAATCGAAGCGTGGTACAGCCATTAAGAGGAATGCAATGACGGTGATTGTGGCTTGGATGATGTTGATTGGGGTGACAGGAGCCAGTTGAGTGCGATTTTCGCCATCTCTTCGCTCTGGTCAACAACAAAGCTGTGCGAGAACCCCTGTGTGATTGTGATCGATCATGCAAGCAAACAGGAGAATGAGCAGAGGTGGTGAGCGGAGACACGTGGTGAGCACGCCCAGATAAACATCCACAGGCATACGTCCACATACACAAACACACATAAAACCAACACGTACAACCCAATACTCACACCTACACTCACGCATACACACATGCATACACACATACACACGAACCTGTGTGCAGTCGATATGCGTGCTGTGTGGGAGGGCGTGCTTGATGTCTGCCGCGTGGTGGTGCGTCACCCAACCGTCCGCGCCGCCATAGTACCAGACGAGCTTGTGCTGGTGCTCGCGGTAGTGGTGCGTGTCCAGATCCAGTAGGTACTCCATCTCGCAGCAGGCCATGTGCAGCGCTTGCAGCACAACGTCGTGGTGGAACAGCTCGTCAATCGTCGCAAGCGCCGTTGGGGATGGTGGCTGTGCGCATGTGTGTGCATGTGTGTGTGTGTGTGTGTGTGTGTGTGTGTGTGTGTGTGTGCATTGTGCATTGTGTCCATGTGTGTGTTGTGTGTGTGTGTACGTGCATTGTGTGCACGTGTGTGTTGTGTGTGTACGTGCATTGTGGTTGTGTGTGTGTGTGTGTGTGTGAATGAGTACGTCCATGCGTTTACGTGCAACGTACAGCAAAGCAAAGAGTGCAGGAGACAATCAACCAACACTTGCAGGTGCACGCAACACATCAACTGAGCCACAGCACCACAGATATCGGTCTCAGCCACTCACGAGCGCGTTGGAGCAGTCACCGAGGTGCCAGTTGACGAGTGCACCTCGCAGACTGGCAGGAAGATGGCCGATGATGTGTGCTAGGCGAGCGGCGGGCCGGCGGAAGTGCCGCAGCAGTGGATACAGCTTGGACCCGTTTGGTGTCGTGCCTGGTGTTGATGGCGGGGTCAAGGGTGTGGTGGAGCGAGAACAGCATGTGTACGTACGCGTGAGTACGTACGTACGTGTGTGTGTGCGTACGTGTGTGTGCGTGTGTATGTATGTGTGTGTGTGTGTATGCGTGAGAGAGACTTGGCGAGGGGGCAGCTGCAACCACATGTTGCACCAAGAGAACAATCAGCATATGAACACACTAATGTACGCATTCTCACACACACACACACACACACACACACACACACACACACACACACACACACACACACACACACACACACACACACACAGGCACGCACAAACGCACGCACATGTACTCATTCACGTACACACACACACACACGCGCGCGCGTGCGTCACAAGACACTGCTAACAACCAACCAATGTGGTGGACGGTGGGGAAGAGGTTGAAGACGCGATCAACACTGGAGCTGAGGGGTCGCAACATCTCCATGGCGATCCAAGCGCCAATCGAGTGGCCCATCAAGGTAAACCTGGCAGACGGGTACCGTTCGCGAAGAACCCGCATGACCTGCAGCTTGTGCTCCGTTTGTTGGAAGTGGGAGAAGAGATGCGGCGAGACGGACGTGGGGGAGTGGCCCGTGTGGCCGATGATGACGCACGGGTCTCTCGTCTTGTCGTGGAGTTCGCTCATAAAGTCGATGTAGAACTCCGGGTGACCAGGGTTTCCCGGGATCATGACCAGCACGTGGGCGACCTCCTTGTTGAACACGCTTTGTCTGCTGTCGAGGATGCGCACCTCTGCTGTTGTGTTCCCTGGCGCGCTTGGGATGGGCACATGCATGGTTAACCCAGTGTCCGCCCTTGGTGCGGACAGCAGTGGCGAGGAGGGCGACGACAAGGAGGACGATGACGAGTGTGCCCTGCCGGTGCTGGTGCGGCTGCTGTTGCTGTGGTTGTGAAAGCTCGAACGTCGACGCCCGTTGCCTCTGCATGTGTGTGTGGGCATGGTCGGGGATGTAACAACAGGACTTGCACACGCGCTTGCGCCGGTGCGGCTGCCAACCCCACGGCCTGTGCCTGTGCCTGCACCTGCATCTGTGCTGTTCCCACGGCCACTGCTGGTGCTGCTTGTTCGACTGCGGCGCAGCGCACAAGCTGGGCACTGCTGCTGCCTGTCGGTGTTGTCCTTGTGTTTCAGGCGCAGCACGGACATGACCACGGACGCAGTCCAGAGCGCAGTGTCCAGCACGTACGACACGATGGCAAAGAGCAAGTGCCGCGCAAGCGACAGGCCGACTCGTGGCGCCCCAAGATGCTGCTTCACACGCTCCGACATGACGCTGATGTCTCAGGAAGCGGGGCGGGGACGGCTGTGCTGAGTGTTGAGAGGCGAGGTGGAGGAACGTGTGTGGAGGAAGGGTGTTGTGGAGGAAGGGTGTGTGGACAGCTCCACCAGCCAGCCAGCCAACAACGTGGTGGAATGCGGCAACTGTTATCGACACCATAAACTGCAGCCATGTCGTCCGCTGCACCCAAGCGATATGTGGGGCGACTCGCCCGCGAATACAAGGCCATCAAGAAGGTTGGTTGGTTGGTGTGTTCATGTGTGTGTCTGTGTGTCTGTGTGTCTGTGTGTCTGTGTGTGTGTCTGTGTCTGTGTTTGTGTCTGTCTGTGTGTGTGTCTGTTTGTCTGGCTCTGTGTCTGTGTGTATGTGCGTCTCCTCTCTCTGTGTGCTTGTATTTCGCTCGTGTGCGCCTCACCCACTCTGCAATCTTGCCTTGTCTTGCTTGTGCTCGCCGTGCGCTTGTAGAACCCTCCTCCTTTCATTCTCGCGGAACCAAAACCAGAGAACATCCTCGAGTGGTTCGTGTGTATGTGCGCGTGGCTGTGTGCGTTCGTGCGTGTGTGTGTGTGTGTGTGTGTGTGCGTTCGTGCGTGTGAGTGTATGCGTGTTTGTGGGTGCGTTCGTGCGTGTGTGTGTGTCTGTGTGTGTGTGTGTGTGTCTGTGTGTGTGTGTGTGGTTGATGCTTGCGCTGGAGCATCAAACGGCTGCCGCCATCATCCCAGTTCCCGTTGTTGTCCAGCTGCTGTCGCGTGGCGTGGCTAACGTCTTTGTTCTTGTTGCTGCGCACTCGCACTCGCTCTCTCTCGCGCTCTCTCATGTACACAGGCATTATGTCATTTCCGGCCTTCCAGACGACACACCGTACCATGGTGAGCTGTGATACAACGACTGCGTCTACGTCTCCATCTGTGACTGTGTCTGTGTCTACGTCTCCGTCTACGCCTGTACCTGTGTCTGCATCTGCGTTTGCGCGTTTGTTGTTTGTGTATTGGATGTGTGGATGAACGATGTTATGTGTGTCAAGGCTGGTTGTTGTGCTGCTCTGTTTGTTAACTGTATCGCACACCACCCAACTGTGTGTCGACAACAGGTGGCTTCTACCACGGCAAGCTGGTGTTCCCTTCATCATACCCGATGAAGCCGCCTGCCATCTACATGATCACTCCAAACGGCCGCTTCAAGGAAAACACAAGGTACGTGGCCCAGGGCACCTTGTCTTGGTCATCAACCTGACATGTGCGTCGCTGACGTGTGCGTGTGCTGTTATTGTTTGTTTGAGGATCAAGACGCCCTCAAACACATGCACACACACACACACACACATACACACACACACCTGCTTGTGGTGTATTGAACCCTTGCAGATTATGCCTCAGCATCTCTGACTTTCACCCCGACACTTGGAACCCCGCGGTGTGTATGCATGTGCGCTTGTGTATGTGTGCGTGCGTGCGTGTGCGTGTGTATGCAAACATGTCAACTCGCTCGTCCATGCTGTGTTTCTTACCTCCAATATGCTCCAATGCCACCCGCGTGCTCTCAGTGGTCTGTGGAGACCGTACTGAAGGGCCTCCTCAGCTTCATGGTGAGTCAGATGGGATGTGCACCTCAAGCCTACTTTCACAAACCGAAGGACACACACACACACACACACACACACACACACACACACACACACACACACACACACACACAAACTGCACACACACACACACAAACTGCACACACACACACATACTGCACGCACGCACAGACCTACTGCACACAACTCACTCACACGCGCACACACCACAAACCACTGCCCTCACTCACAATGGCCATTGCCTTGGTGCGCGTTTGTGCGTTTGTGCGCGTGTTGATCACGTCAGCTGGAGGACACGCCCACCGCCGGCAGCATCACCACCACCACAGCAGAGGTTTGAGCCGCAATATCGGTTGTCTCTGTTTGTTTGCCCATGCACGGTGTCTGTCATCGGGTGGCCGTCAACTTGTCAGTGCAACGCGTGGTGTGCAACCAATGGCGAGCACTGCCCAGTATCATCACGCTGCGCATAAGCGCACAAGCACGTACACACACACCACACACACACACACACACACACACACACACACACACACACACACACGACGGTCGTCGTCACTGGGCGCGCGAGGTCAAATGTAGCCCCCCCTACTAGATCGTAACGAAGCTTCGATATTCAATTGTCCCTACGCTAATCGTATCCAAGGGGACTGACCATAGCCCAGCTAGCGGCTCCTCAGGACATGAGCGACGTAGGGCTTTCTTTACTTACATTCACCTTCAAACAGGCGTTCTCTAACGAGTGCTACTGTAGTCTGAGCAACCGAGCTGTGATCTTCGGTTTTAAAATCTGCATCATCCCTACTTAACGTATGGTAGACAGGTTTTTCCAAACAGCGCCGACTCTGTGCGAGGAAGCGACGTCTCACACACACACGGGTGCGTGTGCCAGAAACGCGCCCTCGCCAAGCGGAGTCTCGTGTTCAATCTCAAGGACCAGCTCTTCTGCGATCTCTTTCCAGAGGTGCGCACATGTGCACACATGCGCAGTTGACAGAGAGGGGCAGAGAAACGGCGATGTGTGTGTGTGTGTGTGTGTGTGTGTGTGTGTGTGTGTGTGTTTGTCAGCCCTCGCACGCGCTCTCTCTTCACCTCTGCCTGCCTGTGTGTTTGTGAGCGTGTTTCATGCGTTGACCTCATGATCTTCACACACATACACGCCCCACCACTACCACCTTGCCGGCTGCCGTACAGACTGCGGAGGAGATTCGAGAGGTGCTGCGACGGAAAGTGAAGGAGGCGACAGACGCACAGAACGCGGCTAGCAGGTGCTGGTCTGTCTGTCTCTGCCTATCTGTCCTGTCTGTCTGCCTGTCTGTCTGTTTGTCTGTGTCCCTGTGTGTCTGTTTGTCTGTGCCCCTCTGTGTGTATGTCTGTCTGGTTAGGCTTCGACTAGTGTGCCGCGCCCTTTGACCCACATCTCATGTCTCCCTGACCACAAACAAAATCACACACGCACGTGCAGTGAGGGAGCGAATACAAACAGCAGCAGCAGCGGCAGCGGTGGTGATGAGAAGTTGCCTGAGCTATCATCCCAAACGCTCGCCGTGATTGCATGCATCGTCGTGCCCATTGTCGGTGTCATCCTGTACCAGATGGTGCAGGCCGCGCCATAGCGCGCACGCACACACACACACACACACACACACACACACACGCACACACACACACACACACACACACACACACACACACACAGCCTCGCTTGCATACAAATGCAATGCATGCCCCCCCCCACGTATGGTGTGTGTCATGACTGTGTGTTTGGCCGCAGTTGCATGCATGCAAGCACAGCCGCAACTCCTCCCCCTCCCCGAGGTTGTGTTACTGCTTGTGTTCTGACTCAAGTTTTGATTGTTAATTGTCCACACACTTAAACTACATTGCAACGCCATGGAGGAGAACATGGATACACTACCGCACTGGAGGAAGGACAAAGGCAAAGGACAAGGGAAAAGGGCACACGCGCCTGCAACACAACAGCAGCAGCAGCGAGAGCACCACAACGCACACACACACACACACACACACACACACACACACACACACACACACACACACACAATGAGACGAGCGACGTGGTGGTGGTGGTGGTGGTGGTGGTGGTGGTGGCTATGATGTGGAGAAGTACACGGCATAGCCGCGGGCACCACGGCTGAAGACGCATTCACATGGCGGCGGTGATGCGAGTGAGCACGTGGTTTGAATGCAAACGCACGAGACAGGCGAGGTGCAAAACAAAGACAGATGGGTACACACAAACATGAACAAAGGCACACACACAACACACACACACACACACACAACAGCTTTCACACAAACAGCAGCATTCACACACACATACACACACAGAATGCCCTTTGGCCGGTTGTGTCTCACCTGCGCCCCCTGCCGCGTCCGCCCCTGTAACCGCGGAAATAGCGGCCACGACCACGGCCACGGCCACGGCCCCTCTTGCGCAGGCCAGGCACGTTGGTGCGCTTATTCAACACCTGGCAGCAGGAGTGTCCACAGCTGGTGTGAGGACCGGGAATACGCATACACACATACATACAAGCAGAGGATGCTGTGTCCTTCGCACACGAGTAACTCACTTGCAAAGTACACCAAACACACACACACACACATGCACGATTCACCTGCTGGGTTGATATGCCCATCACAACCCCTCAAGACCACCACCACCACAACCACCACCACCACCACCACCACGACCATGCCTCTTCTCTCCCCTGACTGCGCAGGCGACTGACCGTAACCTGGCGGCCCTTGAGCATCTGGTTGGTCAGCCCCTTTGCCGTCTCAACGGCGGCCTCGTCCGTAAACTCAACATACGCAAACCTGAAGGTGCACGTGATGGAGGGGGGGGTGGTGGTGAGGGGGTTGCGCAAGCGCGCGTTGGTACAAGGCTGTTGTTGGTCGTGGCACACACACACACACATACACACACATACACACACACACACACACACACACACACACACACACACACACACACACACACACACACACACACAAAACAGAGGGGCAGACAAATGGGCGGACAGGAGAGATGATTTGCCACCAACTCGACATTCATACAACACACCACCGCCGCTACCACCACCATCAACACGAGCACGAGCAAAACCACTGCTACCGTGCGTGTGTTGACTGACCCCTTTGGCTGCCCGGTTGGCCCGCGGCCAATGGTGATGCGGCGCACGGGGCCGCAGTCCTTGAAGAAGAGCTGCAGATCAACCTCAGAGGTCCCGTAGTCAACCTGCATCCCGCCAAACAGGATGGGCACGCACGGAAGGGTGGGGTGGTAGTGGTGGTATGGATCGCGAATGACGGGGGGGGGGTAGAATTGGGCATAGCAGACGGGTTATGACAGCAGAGCTACGACGACACGAGGCTGAGGATGATCAAGCTCTGGGAAGGACGCACACACATACACATACAAACACACACACATACGCACACATACACACACGCACGCACGTTCTGGACAAAGACGGAGCGGCGATCTGCTTCCTCGCGGCTCTCTTGGGAGCCGGCTGTGATGGCGTTCATACGATGGAAGCAAAAACAAACGAAAGAAAACGTGATCAGGAAGGGAGAAGCGAGGCGTTGTACACACACACACACACACACACACACACACATACATACGCGTAGGATGGATACACCAAGCTGCAGTGAATGCTCAAGAACACTCACTCTTCATGACTTGGTTGAGGGCTTCACGATCCTGCTGCAGTGAAGACTCGTTCTGGTTCACCTGTTGCCTCAACTGAAACAACCCCCATTAGGCGTGAGGTGGGAGCGTGAGAGGGGAGTGTGACAATGGCATGTATGCCAAGCGCGTGCGGTTGAGGTGATGCACCCTGTACACACTCAGTACACGAACACACGAACACATAGATACAAGTGCACACACACACGCGCGCGTACGTACACATACAAAGACCCCGCACACACACACACATACATACACACCCACTGGACTCACTTGCTCAAACTCGTCATCGTCACCGCCACCCTCTTCTGTGTCGCCAGAGCCTTCTTGCTTTGTGGCGCCTTCCGCCTGTGCGGCCTCCTCGCCCTCCTCGCCCTCCTCATCGTAGGCGAGGTCCGCCTCATCTTCCGGGTATGGCTCCTCTGCACCTTCTTCGAGCGGCTGCTGCCCCTCTTCCTCCTCTCGCTTCTCCTGCTGCTTCTTCTGCTGCTGCTGTGCAGCTTCGTCGCCTGCAGCACGCCCGCATGCCACAGATCAACGGTCATCAACTGGACACACGTCCCATGCACACAAATCATGCACACATGTGCTCACGTGTTGTTGTGACGCAGATCGAGATGCCCCCACAAACAAACCAAAAAAAAAAAACACGGCACCAGCACACACACACACACACACACACACACACACACACACACACACACACACACACACACACACACACACACACACACACACACATATGCGTGAGTGCGGAACATGTCACGTTCGATGCGAACCTTGGCCACTGCTCATCGCGTCAAAGTCGTCGTGTGTGTCTTGCTTCTCGTGTGCGAACGTTGGTTTGGTTTGTGGAAAAAGGCGACACGACACACAAAAATATAGTACCAAAGTGGGCGTGTGCACTCTGTTGCGGTCCTGCTTGTTGTGTGCTGCTGCGCTCATTTGCTTGCGCGAGTCGCTCTTGCTTGCTTTGCTTGCTTGCTTGCTTGCTTCACTTCAACACGACACGACCCATCCATCCACCCCTTGCTTGCCTGTGCAAAGCAACATGGATTTGGTGGCGGAGCTGCTGGCTCGGACCACAGAGGTCGTGCGGGTGGACGACTTGCTTGGCGTGGAGGATGTGCCTGCGGCAGTGGTTGTGTTTGCGGCGGTGTGCGGCTCTGTGCTCTTGCTGCTGGCTCGAACGGTGCGGGCAAGCAAAGTGGACATGCACTACGTGCCAACACCCAGCAACAAGGCCGTGGTTCACAAGCTGCGCCAACACACGACGCTCACCCGCTACAAGCCGCCTCGCCTCCTCACCAACGCACACACCAGCACCCTCTTTGCTGCCCTTGGCAAGCGCCCGCCCATGCCAAAGTTCCACAGGTCAGACTTTGTGTCGGTGCTGTAGTGTTCCTGTAGTGTTCCTGTGTCGCTGTGTTATGGTCATGTATTGTTCCTGTGTTGCTGTGTTATGGTCATGTCGCTGCGTTCCTCGCATGCGAGGCTGATCGTCATGCGCGTTGAGTGGGGCGCTGCTGTAGAGTTGAGGCTGCCTTCCTTGTGTGCGTGCACAAGCTGGCTCGGTGTCACCAAAGGACAGCGCCTCATATACTGCTGTGCACACGCGCCGTTTTGCCGCTGCAGGGAGCACTTGGACACGCCCGACGGTGGGCTGATTGGTCTGGACATTCTCGAGCCTCCAGCGCGCGGTGCTGCGGACGCGCCTCCACTGACGGTTCTGCTGGTTCCCGGTATTGCCAGCTGCAGTGACGCCCCTTACATCCGGTCCCTCGCTCTCGCATGCCACGAGCATGGCTGGCGGGTAAGCGAATGTATGTGTGTGTGTGTTTAAACTTGTGAGTGTGTGTGTGTGTGTGTGTGTGTGTAGTGTGTGTGTGTGTGTGTGGTGTGTGTAGTGTGTGTAGTGTGTGTAGTGTGTGCGTGTGTTACTTCGTCCGTGTGACCCCATAGATACACACACACACACACTCTCTCTCTCTCTCTGTGCCAAATTCAAATACTCACATGCACACCGACAAACACACGCACACTGACCACCCCCCACCCAACCGCGCACCCCCTTGCAGACGGTGGTGAAGAACTGGCGCGGGTGTAAGACGGAGCTGCGGAGCGCCCGCACGTTCAACTACGGCAACACGGAGGACATTGAGCTTGCCATCCGGTACATCAAGCGCATGTACCCGGCAGGGCCCATCGTGGCTGTCGCCTTTTCCATGGGCGCAAACGTGCTCACCAAGTACATGGGCACGACGAATGAGGACCTGGGGTCTGACCTGTACCACAGCATCGACGCAGCCGTCACATACTCAAACGGATACATCCTTCAATGGGGATACGAAATGGTGCGCTTCTGTGTGTGTGTGTGTGTGTGTGTGTGTGTGTGTGTGTGTGTGTGTGTGTGTGTGTGTGTGTGTGTGTGTGTGTGTGTGTGTGTGTGTGTTGCTGTTACGGTTGTGGGAGGAAGAAGCATGCAGTGATACCAGTGAGATGTAGGACGTATTGCTGGCTCTCGTTTTTCGCTTGCTGTTGCCACTCCACCTCCACCTCCTCCTCCTCCTGCTGCTGCTGCTGTATGTCCTGTGCTGCAACAGCGCTGACCGTTCCTCTTTGTACATGTATTTTCCCCCATGCATTGTCCTCCCTCACAATGTAATCTGCAGTTGCACCAGCCCCACTTCCGGCCCTACCATCTTGCCCTGCTGTTTTGGGCAAAGGAGCCCTGGAAGCAGCTTCCACCCGAGCAGTTTGAGCAGTCTGGCTTGCCCTTTACGAAAGACGGTGAGTGCACCATGTGCGCTGACGTGGCAGTTGAAGAGGGTTGGGCGTGGACTTGACGTGTGTGCTCGCGTGTCCACGACAAGCAACCTCAGCCTCTCTGACTTGTGTTTGTACTCACATGTCAACTCACAAACAAACACATTACCAACCACAAACACACACGCACGCACGCGCACACACACACACACTCACGCACGCACGCACTCACGCACGCACACACACACACACACACACACACACACACACACACACACACACACACACACACACACACACACACACACACACACACACCCTCCTCTCAGAGTTGCTGGCGGCGTCGACGCTGGCTGAGTTTGACAAGCTGCACCTGCCAGCCATCTACGGCTACAGTTCGCTTGAAGAGTTTGCACAGGCAGAAAGTTCCGGCACATATTTGCACAGGATCCGCCGTCCGTTTCTGACGGTGAACGCACGCAATGACCCTCTGTTTCCCGAGCAGGCCGAAGAGTTTGTGCGAAAGCACGCGACAGACAATGAACACATCATCTTCGTGCTGACGGAGTGGGGTGGGCATGTTGGCTGGGACAAGAACTTCTTTCAGCACCACGACGCTGATGAACACCACAATGTCATGGATGAAATCACCACCACTTTCTTTCACCACGTCCTCCACCACACCTCCCACTTTGAGGAGAAGTGACAGCTCACACCCCTTTGTCTGTAGATGCCTGTGTGTGTGTGTGTGTGTCTGTCTGTCTGTCTGTCTGTCTGTCTGTGTGTGTGTGTGTCTGTGTCTGTGTCTGTGTGTGTGTGTGTCTGTGTGTCTGTGTGCGTGTGTGTGTATGTCCAGCCTGAGTCCGTGTTGCCACATGTAACTACATGTTTGCAGACTTGACTGCTTGCTTTGTCTCCCTGTGCTACCCATGCTGACTCGAACACGCCGTGTTTGTCAAACGTGCTGGCGTTTATCAATGCTCTTTGCCTGCTAATTTGCCCCTTGCCTCCCTCTGCCTTCCTTCCTTCTTTCTTTCCTTCCTTCCTTCCCTTCCTGCTTTGTGTTCTTTTGACCTTGCTGATGTGTTCGTTTCATGTTTCAAAGACTGATGCTGCTTGCTTGCTTGTGTTAAGATGGTGCTGATGACAACAATACATGTGTACAGATCAGCACGCGCCACGCTCACAAGAACACCAACGAACGATTCACTTACGTTACAGTACCCCCCCCCCTTCTTCGACACACACGGAAACATACGCACACTACGCGTCTGGTTTGCTGAAGAGAAGAGAGACGTTCGTGCCGCCAAATCCAAACGAGTTGCTCAGTGCAAAGTTGATCCTACGGCGGCGCAAACGATGGAGCAGCGGAGAGCAAGCGGGCATGAGTTTGGGTGAAGGGATAATTACCCAACGAACTCCACACACGCGCGCGCACACACACACACACGCACGCACGCACGCACGCACACGCACGTGCACACGCAGACGTACGATTGCTGCTGGGCCGTATTTGCGACAAGATGAAGGCCTTCTGCTTCTTCCAGCGGTTCGTGCAGATTTAAAGTTGGCGGCACAACGCCCGCGTGAATGCTCATCACAGCAAACATGGCTTCGAGCGAGCCCGCCGCACCAAGCAGGTGCCCTGTTGCCCCCTGCACATGCACGCGTGTGTGTATGTGCGTGTGAATGCCCTCAACATACACATCGCACGCACGCACACACGCACACGCGCGCAAGCACACATCAGACGTCTCTCATGCATGCTTCATTTGTATCACACACACGCGCGCACACAAGCACCCACCCGCACCCATCTACACCCATGTGCCTCGCACCTTTGTGGCGGTGATGGTTGGCTGTGCGGCTGTGCCTGCCAGGAGCGCTTTGATGGCCCTACATTCAATCCCATCGCCAAGCGGAGTGGAGGTGGCGTGCGCATTGATGTGATCAAGCACACGCGCGTCGACCCCGGCAGAGTCGAGTGCTGCACGCATGGCGCGATATGCCCCGTCCCCGCTCTCGTGCGGTGCCGTCACGTGGTGCGCATCCCCTAGCACCGGCACAGGCGGTGTGTGTGTGTGTGTGTGTGTGTGTGTGTGTGTGTGTGTGTGTGTGTGTGTGTGTGTGTGTGTGTGTGTGTGTGTGTGTGTGTGTGTGTGTGTGTGTGTGAATGAGTGTGTGTGAGTGTGTGTGTGTGTGAGTGTGTGTGTGCGAAGATATGTGTAAGTGAGAGAGTGTGTGTGTGCGTGAATATATGTGTGTGCGAAGATGGGTTGCATGAATGACTTGCTGTCATACAAGGTGGGTGACGGTTGCACACACGACACAAGCACCCAGGCCAGCGAGCACGCCTTGCAAAACATGCACACACATACACACACACAAGTACATGCACAAGCACAACACTGCATCTGAACACCTGAAAGGCCGTAACCGCGCACTTCGGCGTAGATATGGGCACCACGTGCACGTGCATGCTCCAGTTCCTGTTCATGGGGAGTACACGCAAGATGTGGAGAAGGTGGTGATGACGATGCAAGCTGCGCGCAATGCACACACATACGCATACGACACAGCACACAACATACAGCACACAACACACAACACACAACACACAACACACAACACACAACACACAACACACAACACACAACACACAACACAAAGCTAGGCACGATACCTCCAAGACGAAGAGGGCTGCCCCCTCGCCAATAACGAATCCGCTTCTCCGCCGATCAAACGGCCGCGAACTCTCCTCGGGCGCATCGTCAAACCCCGTCGCAAGCGCTTTGGCCCTGCGCAGTCATGGCGTGCGGAAGCGTGAATGTATGAAGCGCGTGCACCGCACACAGGATCATATGTACACAGTCACGCGTGCTCACGCATAAAAAACGCACACACACGCTCACGCACGATAACGTTCACACACACACACGCTCACGCACGATAACGTTCACACACACACACACACGCTCACGCACGATAACGTTCACACACACACACACACACACACACACACACACACACACACACACACACACCTTGCAAAGCCTGCGACGACAACTGGCATGATGCAAGCATCGGCTCCTCCACAGACCATCACCTGGAGAACAAAGGCGTCAACACGACAATCAACTTGGCCGATGCTTCAACTCAAACATGTACATACCCCCGCACACATGCATGCACACACACGCATACATGTTACGAGTACTCACATCTGCATCACCGTACTTGATGAAGCGGTACGCGTCACCTGGAGCCGGCCGTCATTGTGTTGGACACGCGACGTGTGAGCAGGGTGTTGTCAGCATCAGCACACCTCACCGCATAACCACACGCACGCACGCACGCACGCACGCACGCACGCACACTCGCACATACATAAGCGCACTCGCACACGCACATACAAGTGCACGCGGTTTAATCAGCTCACCGATGGCGTGAGCGCCAGTGGCACAGGCGGTTGACACGGCGTGGTTTGGGCCGCGAAGACCGTAGTCGATGCTGATGAGGCCAGCGGCCATGTTTACCAGGCTGTTGGGAATCAAGTAAGGGCTCACTCGGCGATACCCTCGCGTGTGCAGCGTCTCGTGCGCTGCGATGAGATCCTGCAGCCCACTGATGCCCGTGCCCACAGCAACGCCAGCCCTTGCGCCGTTCACTTGCCTGTTATCATTGCTGCTGCTGCTGCTGTTCTGTTGCAGCGCATCTGCCAGCCCAGCGTCGGCGATGGCCTCATCTGCAGCTGACAGGGCATACAAGATGCTGTCCGGCAACGTACGCCGTCCGTGCCTTGCCTGTACAGCAGGTGCATCAAAGCGCACCAGCGCATCATCATCGGCACTGCCGTTGGAAGAGTCTGCGTCCTGTACGCGTGGCACCGTTGCGGCGAGCTTGGTCGGAATCCCGACCTCCTCGTAACGGTGCAGCTCTGGAAGCATGCCAATGGCGCAGTCTCCACGCACCACTCGCTGCCACGTCGTCCGCGCTGTCGCTGACAGCGGCGACACGGCGCCTAACCCAGTAACCACCACCCGTCGCGCACTCATGCTGCCGACTGGCTGTTGTGCTTGTTTGCAACGTCCGTGAAATCCGGCTGTATCAGACACCACAAACTGACAGGTGCGACGAGGAGTTGTCGAGAAGAGTGCTCCTGCCTTTCCTGCAAAAGGCTTAAGCACTTGCACGTTAGCACTTTGCATCCACTCTTCTCTTCTGAGCACACGATCGCAACCCCTCCACAATGAGGTGGTCGCTGTCGCATACAACGTCGGAGGACGCGAGCCACAAGAGCTACAGGAACCACGAAAACCACAAGAAGAAGGGTGGCGTGGGCGTGTTAGTGACGACGAGCAGGACGAGCGGTGCACTTCTGCGGGCAGTCCTGTGCATTTTGGGCTGTTGTTGTGCTGCTGCTGCAGCAGCGTTGCTCCCTGCAAGCACTCTATCGTCGTTCTCCTTGCTGCCAGTTTGCCAGGGCGAGGTGGTGCTGGTGGAGGACCTCTTTGGTGGCTTCCACATCAATAACACCAACAGCGACAGCAGGGGCAGTGTCACGGCGCAGCCGGTGTTTGTTAACGGCCTGGACGTATGCAGCACCATCGCAGCGCAAGAAAGCATGATTGAGGACCTCAACACCCAAGTCCATGATCTACAGGCTGCCCTGAATGACACCATTGCCGCCGCAAACGCAGAGGAGCCACCTTGTCGGGGCACCACCACTGCCACGCTGGATTGCGGCAGCCTCCTACTGCAGGATCAGTTTGCAGCCGCCCGCCTTTGCGTCGCCGGCGCTGTCGTCAACTGCTGCTGCGACGAGTTTGGCGCATTGCAGGAGATCCTCGGCTCGGTCAGCGTTTTCAGTTCCCTGCAGGCACTTGCGTTTGGCTCCATCACAGCCATCGGTGGTGATGTGCTGGCTGCAGATGATGCTCTCAACTCGCTGGACTTTGGCGCGCTGAAGACTGTCGGCGGATCCGTCGACCTCAGTGGCAACAACATCACAAGCGTGGACTTTGCAGGGCTCACGCGCGTGGAGGGCAACCTCAACCTCACAGGCAACCCCGTGCAAGCACTCTCGTTTGGGCAGCTAACACACGTTGGCGGGGTGCTGTCCATCTTCTCCAGTGATGACTTGAGCCTGAAGGAGGGCGTGCTGCAGGCGAGCGTCGACCTTGGAACCACTCAGGTCACGTCCATTGACTTTGGCAGCTTGGCCAGACTCGGTGGTTCCTTGGACACCAGGCTCTCTGTTCTGCAAGCCATCTCCTTCGGCGACGTCACCACGGTGGACGCCACAGTGCGCCTCCTCTCCGACACCATCACCAGCATCGACTTTGGCAAGCTGATGCATGTTGGGGGAGACCTTAGAATCGGCTCCAATCAGCTCACGACCGTCACCGTGAACACAACCAGCAGCGCTCTGATCGTGGGCGGCTATCTGGAAGTTGCCGGCTCCGCCGCTCTCACAGCGGTCGACCTCAGCAGCGTCACTCAGGCCGGCAGTGTGGGCATCTACGGCGACAGCATCACCACCGTGAACCTTGGCAATGTGGCGGCGGTTGAACAGAGCGTCGAGATTGCCGGTAAACGCATCACCAACATCACCTTTGGGCCTCTGACCAGCATTGGCGGTGGCTTGTTCCTCGAAGTGAATGAAGCTGCCCACATCGACCTCAACAACATCACCACCCTCGCTGGCAGTGTTGCAATTGACAGCGACCTTGCCAGCCTGGACTTTGGCAAATTGACTCGCCTGGATGACGCCATTTACCACGAGAACAGCCCCTCCTTCACGTCCATCGACTTTGGCGCCCTCACCTTCGTTGACGGCTACATGTCCTTCTACAGCAACAGCCTCAAGCGCCTTGACTTCAAGAACCTCGGCAGCGTGGCGGGCGATCTTGACTTTTCAGACAACGCCTTCACCGTCGCTGACACGGGCAGCCTAACCAGCGTTGGGGGCGACTTTTTCCTCTTCTCCAACCAGCTCACCATCTTCAGCTTTGGCAACATCACCATGATCACCGATCAGGTGAATTTGAGCGACAACCAACTGTCCAACATTGACTTTGGCAAGTTGCGATACGTTCAAGGCAACTTGGTTCTCCGAGACAACGATCTCGTCACCCTCGACCTCTCCGGACTGTCTCTGCTCGGCGGCTTGGATGTACGCAACAACCCTTCCTTGGTCATGGTGACTTGCGACGATCTCAGCTTTTGCATCCAAGCTGACAATGGTGTGACCTTCAACCAGTGTCAAAACACGTGCCCATAGCAGTGATGGTCGTGTTCGTGTGTGTGTGTGTGTGTGTGTGTGTGTGTGTGTGTGTGTGTGTGTGTGTGTGTGTGTGTGTGTGTGTGTGTGTGTGTGTGTGTGTGTGTTGATTGTAAGTACGGTTTCAGTTGTTGCTGCTGTCCGAGTCCGCGTGTTACGCGTTTATGTGACACTGTACGTTTTGGTTGATTGCTTGTTGACGCCCAAGTTCCGCGAGACATTGATTTGGCTTGTGAAATGAGCGCCATGAAGTAAGAATCGACATTCCACACACGCTTACCCATGCGTCAACACACCAAGAGACACGCAAGCCAGCAGGCGAAGCGACAAACAGACCAAAAAGCGTCTACCCTGGCTTGAGGCAACTCGTTCAAATCGCTCTTGCGATCAAACACACACACACACACACACAAACACACACACACACACACACACACACACACACCAAACAGCAGCTTCAAGGAAAACAAGAGGTGCGAGAGCATCACAGGCTGATGATGGGCCCAATAGTGCGGCCTTGGGTCGGGAGGCGAAGTGCAGCAGCGCGCGAATGGCCGTGAAGTCCTTCCATCAGCGCGAGATCAACGGCGTCCTGCACAACTCCCGTCGCAGCCTGAAGGGCGATGATGATGCATGTTTGTTCAGTGCAAAGGTGGTGAGTGAAAGCGAGCGAGCATTATTGTGCATCAAGGCGATCAGAAAATGCACAGCATCCAGCCAGCACAGATGAAACAAACGACCACCGCCACCATCACAGCCATCAACGTTGCCTGCCACCTTCACCGCCACCATCGCCACCTTCACCGCCATCACCAAGAACAAGGCGAGACCCGGACCTTCTTGTCATCGATGCGCAGCCACGTGCGGGGGCGAAGAAACGTGTGGACGCTGAGGCCGCCAAACGAGCGGGCCGTGCCACCGGTGGGCAGGGTGTGGTTTGGACCAGCACCGTAGTCGCCAAGCACCTCCGCAGCATTGTGGCCGACAAAGAGGGCGCCGTAGTGGTCGAAGCGGGGCACGAGGTCCCACGCGTCCTTCGTGTGCACCTCGAGGTGCTCTGGCGCCAGGCGGTTGGCCACGGCAATGGCCTCGTCGACGTCAGCCGTCACCACGGCAAAGCTGTTCTCCGCAATGGCAACCCTGCCAACGCAAGGGCGAGTAAAGGGCCGGTGTAAATGTATGTGTGTGTGTGTGTGAGTGAGTGAGTGTGTGTGTGTGTGTGTGTGAATGACTTGGGGTTGCGTGAAGGGCGTCAGTGTGATCGCTTGACGCGATCGCATGTGGTTGCTAGCAACACAGAGGACAAGGGATCACCAACTCAAAAGGGTTGCTGCCACACACCACAAATTGACGACCACACACACACACACACACACACACAACACACACACACACACACACACACACACACACACACACACACACACACACACACACACACACAACACACACGTACACGCGCGCACACACGACACACACACACACCTTGCGGTGTCCGCTGTTGGGAGCACGGCGAGCTGCTGCTGCACCTGTGCGTTGACGGCATCGACAACCTGCTTGTCTGGCGTGACCAGGATGGCGCGCGCCGCCACATCGTGCTCGCTCTGGGCCAGCAGATCCGCTGCAACAACAGCGGGGTCGCACGTGCTGTCTGCCACCACCAGGCACTCGCTGGGGCCCGCCAGCATGTCAATGGCAACGCTGCCTGCAACGAGCGACTTGGCAGCAGTGACAAACTTGTTGCCCGGCCCAACAATGGCATCACACACAGGCACGTCTCCAGCGCCGTACGTGAAGGCGGCAATGGCCTGCACGCCGCCGACAGCGAGCAAGCCATCGGCCCCAGCAATATACGCAGCAGCGAGCACGCTGCGGTGGGGGCGCGGGCTGGCAACCCACACCTGCTTCACACCGGCGACGCGAGCCGTGACGGCGCCCATGAGCACGCTGGAGGGGAGCGGGTACCTGCCCCCAGGCGCGTAGCAGCCGGCCACTTCCACCGCGGCCACCAGCTGCCCGGCCTGCCCACCAGGAAGATCAACCTGGCAGTTGTCCTGCACAGACGCGCGCTGGGCCTGTGCAAACGCCTTGATGCGGTCTGCCGTGCGCTGCAGCACGCCCCGCTCTTGTTCGCTCAGCGCGTCGTACGCGGCCTTGAGCCCCCCCTGGCCAACCACCATCGGCTGGCCGTCGGCAATGTCGCCAAGGCGCACGGCGTGGTGCATGACGGCGGCCTCCCCACGCTCGCGCACATCGCGCATAATCTCCTCCGCAATCGCACGCGCCTTGGGGTCAACTGTCCACGCGCAGCGGGGGTGTCATGTGTGTGAAGATCAATAAATTAAGTCAATCGCATGGTAGAGTGGGGTGGGAAAGGGGTGGCGTTCGTGATGGAGCACATCGTTTGCACACTAACACTGGCGCAGACCCACGTAGACAAACTTCAGCATTGCTCACACTGTTGCTGCCATGACCACCACTCGCGCATTCGCGCCACGTGACTGCACACACAACAGCATTCACACACACACACGCACACACACACACGCACACACACACCCACGCACGCACACACACACACACCTGGATCCCTGTGGAGTGGCGGCACGTCCTCGGCCTTGATCATCTTCAGCACGGGCTCAGCAGCCGCCTGTTGTTGCTGCTGCTGCTGTCCTTGCGCGCTGTCATCAACATCACCAGCAGCTGGCGTGTCCTCGCCATCGTGCACGACCTGGCCCTCCATGCTCTTCTTCTTATTCTGCGTTTGCGTGATACCGCCCAGCTTCTCCTTGAGAAACTCCGGCTTTGCGTTGCCCGGGCGCCTGCTGACCTTGAGGTGGCGGCGGTCAAGCTTGCGCTCCACGTCATCAAGGGACACGCCGGCCTTTGTGCACAGTGCAAGGCTGAAGTACAGCAGGTCCGCCATCTCAGACGCAATGTGGTCCGTGTCCTTGGCCTTGAGCAGGTACGGCAGGGGGGAGGGGGCGTACGTGTGTGTGTGAATGTGTGTGTGTGTGTGCGTGCAAGTGTGCGCATATGTGTGTGGATGAAAACGTCCTGGGACACACACGCGCGCGCACGCACACACACGCACACGCGCACAGACACACGCATACACAGACACAGACATAAAACGCAATGGCTGCATCCGACGTGCGTTGTGGTACCTCGGTGAGCTCAATTGCTTCCTCGACCACCTTCTTCTGCAAGAGGGCGGGGTCGTTGAACAGCCTGCGCGTGTAACTTCCCTCAGGTGCTGTCTCAAGACGCGAGCGAAGCGTTTCTTGCAGCGCCGTCAGCCCCCGGCTTGCCCCCATGCACGTCATCGTGTCCCGGTGGCAGAAACCCTACGTTGGTGTGTGTGTGTGTGTGTGTGTGTGTGTGTGTGTGTGTGTGTGTGTGTGTGTGTGTGTGTGTGTGTGTGTGTGTGTGTGCGAGGCAATGTGGCTGAGCTGGGGCATGACGGAGAGCGGTGTAACAGTGACGTTTGCACAATCATCAATAGCAGTGTTTTCGCGCACGCGTGGCTCACCTTGCCATGCTGGGTCACGCGGAACTGGATGAGGTCACGGTCGCAGTCGTAGGCGATGGTGTGGAGGTCCTGCGTGGCGCCAGAGGTGCTGCCTTTGTGCCACAGCCCGCGTTTGCGTGACCAGTACACTCCCTGCTGCAGGCGGATGGCCTCCTTCAAGGACTCAGCGTTGGAATAGCACACGCCAAGCGTCTCGTTGCGCTCATTCACAACCACCGTCGTCCACAAGCCATCAGGCCTGCACGTGTGTGTGTGTATGTGTGTATGTGTGTGTGCGTGTGTGTGTGTGCGTGTGTGTGTGTATGTGTGTATGTGTGTGTGCGTGTGCGTGTGTGCGTGTGTGTGTGTGTGTGTGTGCGTGCGAATGCGTAACATGCACGCTGCGCGAGCGAGCAGCCACATCGTAGCCTCAGCGCAAGGGTACAACGCGTGTGTTGTTGTCGTACCTGTCTGTTTTGAGGAGGCACGAAATGGCATCTGCAAGCAGCAGCGACGACTGCAGCGTTGTGGCGTTGATCTGTCAAGGATAACACGCGGGTTGCCCGTGCCATGAGAAGGGGATGGGCGCGTAATTGTTCCAACATAAATCATGTGCAACCGCCCCCCCCCCACACACACACACACACATGCACACAACGTGTCAGCACTTACCAGGGCGTGGCCGGCGGACTTGTCGATGGCCTGTACGACAGAGGTGGACGAGACGTTGGCAAAGGAGGCTGTGACGCCATCGCCCACTTTCGCTGCCACAGCATTGACATCATCCACTGTAGGCGCAGTGCCGCTGTCGTACTATATACACGAGTTTTAGCAACCCAAAACCACATGAGCACACACACACACACACACACACACACACACACACACACACACACACACACACACACACACACACACATAAAGGATACGTGTGAGCGGCATATCATGATGAGATACGTACACAGCCGTGATCACTCCAAACGAAAGTGCACGTGATCTCACCAGAATGTCGAGTGTTGACAGCTCGTCGTTCAGGTCGTCAGCAGAGGAGATGACAACTGCAAGGCGATCTTGTGGCAGCTGCAAAACCAACATATGGGAAACACGTGCGATGAGCAACTGGCTGCAGGAGGTGGTGCCAAATCAGGGTGCGTGTGGCGGTGGCGAGTCACGTACCTGTTGGAATGCATCTTGGTTGGCCTTGTACGTTGCAAGCGGAATGCAAACTTGAAGGGCGCCCGCGTTCAGCAAGTCGGTCGCCACATCTGCGTCCGCCACGATATCGCCCACAACACGTGCCCTCACAACCTGCGTGTGTGTGCGTAAGTGAGCAAGTGTATGAGGATGTGAGTATGCGTGTGTGCGCGCGCGCGAGTGAGCAAGTGAGCAAGTGGATGGGGATGTGAGTCAGCAAGTGTGTGTGTGTGTGTGTGCGCGAGTGAGCAAGTGAGCAAGCGGATGAGGATGTGAGTGAGCAAGTGTAAAAGTATGTGTGAGATAGTGTGTGCTGTGTTTGCGTGCTGTGTGTGCAGCAATTGTGGTGGTTGAAACTCGGAAACGCGTGCATGCGCCCTTGTGATTGCTCTGTGCACGCTGCACCTTGAGGAACTCGCGGAGCTGGTCAACAGTTGGCGATTGAGAGGAGGCTGTGATGTACACGTCGCCAGCGATGGTGAACTGCTTGATGGACTGCTTCCACTCACTGGAAGTCTGCAGGCACACGCAGCAATGACGCGTTATGAGGAATTGTGAATGAGAGATGCAGAGCGTAGATGTGAGCCACTGCACCTTCACTGCACCTGCACTGCACCTTCACTGCATGACAGGTGCAAGCGCGTGTTCTAGATGTACGCGGCAGAGCAGTCTGACCAGGTCAATGTCGGTGTCCTTGTTTGATGCGCCCACGCGCACAAACGGGTGCACACACTGCACACTCATTGTCGTCGAGGAAAGCGTGGAGCACGGGATGATGGGAGGCTGTAACAATGCTGTGTGTGACAGTGCTGTTGGTTGGTCCACAAAACGTGCGATTGTAGATGATTGGCGAATATCTTCATGTATTATTCACAGGACAAACAAGAGACAAGAAACAAGAGACAAGAGAGATGCGCTTCTTGTGCTGTGTGTCTGTCATGCTGACGTGCGCTTTGGGATGTAGTCCTTTGGTCCAGCAGCGTCTGCACGCTCGCCAACAAAGGCCGCAAAGCGGGGAATCCCATCTGGGGTCAGTTCCTGGAACTTGTATGTGATGATGGCGCCAACCTTTGGCGGGGATCTGCGCTGTGCGTCCGAGAACCCCGTGCCAATCTTGAACTGCGAGTGAGTGAGAGTGTGTGTGTGTATGCGTGTGTGTATGTGTGTGTGTGTGTGTTTGTGTGTGTGAGTGCGTGAGCGTGTGTGTGAGTGAGTGAGTGAGTGTGTGTGAGTGTGTGAGTGAGTGAATGTGTGTGTGTGTGTGTGTGAGTGTGCGGGGGTGATAGAGAGAGACCGCGCGCGCATGCCAACATGAATAGTTTGCACACGCCAACACACACACACACATGCCGCTGACCTTCTTTCCACACTCCATTTCCACCTCCAACGCGCCCATTGCGCCCTTGTGTCTGCCTTTGCCGGGCACATGAGCAAGAACGCGCGCCTCCGCATCGTAGAAGCGCTTCACCTGCCATGCGCGCGCGCGTGTGCGTGTGTGTGTGAACGTGTTCACACTTGAATCTGCGCTTGTGCACAATTGCATCGTCAAAGAAGTAAGGAGCGTGATAGACCCACCAGCCAACACAGTTCAACATCATGTCAGGAAACAAAACACGTCAAACGGACCTTGAGCAGTGTGGACGATCGTGTCTTTGCGTAGGTCGACTTTGGCTGTCGGAGCATCAGGCCCTCGCCCCCAAGACGCGCCACAACACGCTCCAGCTCATCCTCCATGTGCTTCACATCCCGCACCCTAAACACATACGCACACATGGAGGCACAAATCGGGCATGTCATCATCACACAGCGTCAGCTGCACAGGTTCTCACAGGTGCTCATGCACACACACACGCGCACACACACACACACACACGCACACACGTCAGCACACACACACACACACGCACACACACACACCTTGTGTGCTGGACGAGGGAGACATGCTTCACATGGCCGGACGGCTGCGCAGAATGCCAGCGCTGCAAAGCCTCCACTCGCTCCTCAAACACACGTGCGCCCTCACTGGGACAATCAAACACCTGTGCAACATAAAGGGAGGGAAAGTTACATGGGGCGCCAATGAATTGTGTGTACGTGTGCGTGTGCGTGTGCGTGTGCGTGTGTGTGTGTGTGCAGTCCCTGAATGAGCAAAAGCAAGGCAGCCCATGCCTTCGATTCCACTGCCCTTGCAGACCTGGTATGTGACATCTGTCCACCGCTTGCTGCCGACGGTTCGCACGACGCTGACGGTGTCGTTGAAGCGCCCGCGGCCCATGAACAGCTCCCCGTCAAGTGTCATGTCCCGCTGGGCACGCGCAGGGTGTGTGCATGTGTGTGTGTGTGTGTTTGTGTGTGTTTGTGTGTTTGTGTGTGTGTGTGTGTGTGGTCGTGTGTAGGGCGTATGGTTGGAAAGTGAGTCAGCGCAGTGTCTTGCAACAAACAAGCAAGCAAGCAAACACGAACGCACACGCATACAAACAAACACACGCACACAAAACCAACCACACACAACAACAAGCACGCACAAAAACAAACACAAGCAAACACACAACAAACAAAACACAAACAAACACACCGGGAGAGTGCCTGTAAACCAGGAAGGGGCTGCAAACGCGTTGCCAAGGCGGGACAGGAGCTCTTTTCCGTTCCAATACGCGCGAACGCCATCCAGCTTCTCGCTCATGTGCCAGTCAGTCGGATCAACACGCGCCTGCGGGCAGCGCGTACACAATGGTATGTGACGTGTGGCGTGTGACGCGTGGTGGTGTGACGGTTGATGTGACGACAACGGGAGACAAGCAATGGCAATTCTGGCGCACACATCACTCATTGGCAAGAAACTTGCATCACACACACACACACACACACACACACACACACCTCCCAACGCTGGGCCAGGAGCAGGTCTGGCTTCGGTGTTCCGCGTGCCTTCAAAGGCACCGTCTTCACGCCGCCAACACGCGCTTTCTCAAACGCTGCATGTGCACACATGTGTGTGGATGTGTATGAGCACTTACGCCAAACAAGCATGGACATCAGTCACGGCACAAGCGGTGGGGTGGAATTCAAGACAAGGACACACAACAAGCAGACACCTGTCGCACGCACACACACACACACACACACACACACACACACACACACACACACACACACACACACACACACACACACATACACACACACACACACACGACACGCGTACGCACCGTCGCCGAGGTAGGCGCAGAGGTGCTTGCATGTGCGCGCGTTGACCGGGGCGCTCTGGTTCCGCCACGCAGGGCACGTGCAGTAGTAGTGATCGCCGGTACGCTTGATCCTTCTCAACGCCAACCGCAGCAGAAATTGTGTGTGTGTGTGTGTGTGTGTGTGTGTGTGTGTGAGTGGTGTGTGTGTGTGTGACCAAATGCGGCATCAGCAAGATGACACCCTTTTTTTCCCAGCATCCAAAGCACAACAGCGCACACAAGACAGCAGGTCACTGCCAATGGCATTCTACCCACTTGTAGGAGGAGCCCGAGGGTGACGTGTAGTCCACGCTCTCACCATCCTCCAGCTTGTGCAGTGGTTTGGGTGTATCAGCATCAGCATCAGCGTCATCGTCGTCACCATTACCATCATCATCATCCTCATCCTCATCCTCATTGCCGTCCACATTGTCGTCCTCATCATCATCTTCATCATCATCATCATCATCTGCGTCGCGGTGGGGAGTTGCTTTCTTTTCCTTCTTGTGCGCCTTCTTCGTCGACGTTGCTCCTTTTGCTGTTCGGCGTCGACGATACTCTGCAAACACCATGTCGTTCCACTCCTTCTCAAAGATCACGCGCACACCTGCCCAAGCAAAACCGCACGCCGGATGCACCGTGAGATTGCTCCATCGTGTTGATTGGTTTCTCATATAGCTCGCTGCGGCGTGTCAGTAACCCTCTTTGCATGCAAATGCACACTCACACAGCACACATTCACACAAACACACAAACACATGCACGCTCACACACACACACACACGCGTAGTCACATGTACGTCGCACCAAGGTCTGATGCGCGATCCTCCTTGGCTCCAAAGGGACGCACGAGGCCGCCAATGACCAGCAGGTCCGTCTTGGACGACACGCTGGAGCCCACAATCGCACCCAGCTTGGACGCTTCGTTCTCCACAACGCGCCGAATCCCAGACTCAAATGTACCCTGCTCGTGTGGTTGTGTGTGCATGAACCACACCGTGAGTGTGTGCAGCAAACCACAGTGTGTGGACCATGTGTGCATGTATTGGGCAAGCACACACACCCAAACACGCACAAACACACGCACACACATACAAACACAAACACACACACACACACATACACACACACACACAAACACGCACAATCACAACGCACCGTGAACACGACTTTGAGATCTCGGATCGATGATGCTGTGGCTGCTGAAGTCTTCGACCCACTGCCATCGCTGTCACTGTCGCTGCTGCCACTGTCGCTGGCAGCCTTGCGAGCGGCTTTCGCTATCTTGGGCTTGCGACGTGCAGCTGGTGCATCACCACGATCGTCGCTGTCATCGTCGTCGTCGTCCTCATCACTGACACCACCGGCCTTGCGCTTGGCTGTTGTCTTGCCTCGTCGGCGCGCGTCCCCATCGGAGTCGCTACCGTCGCTCACGCGCGCGTCATCGTCATCGTCGGCGATGGCTTTCGCAGCGGCAACGGCGACTGCTGTTGTGGTTTTGGATGCCTTGGGGTGCGTGTACTTGTGGAAATGGTCGGGATCGCGGCGATAGCACGCTGCGCCGTACTTGCACGGGTGTGAGTACTCGTCAAAGTGCTTGACGTTCTTGCGATAGCACGACAAGCCAAACCGGCACTCCGGCAGCGGTGCCTTCTTGCCTCCACCAGCCATCGTGAGCTGTGTGAGCGGGTTGGTTGTTGGTGTTGTTGTTCGTGTTGGCAGCCTCGGGGGAAATGACTGCCGCGGCAGGCAGTTCGTCGAAGCAAAAGGACTGCCTGCTCACAAGAAAAGTGCTGACTTGTGCAAATGGGCCGTATTGATCCATTTGGCATCCTCTGTTTGAAAAGATGACGCGGCGGAGAACACAGCCCAACAGCACTGGCAGCAGTGGTGCGGTGTTGCCGCAGCACAGCAGCAGCCGTGACAGCGCTGGCGCTGGCGCTGGCGCAGCAGCGACCACAGGGAGCATGAAGGTGAGAGCCGTGCTTGCGGCAGCGTTGGTGGTGGCCAGTGGCATCGCTGCGCTCAGCGATAACAGTAGTGCAGATGCGCCACCAGCGCAGACAGCATCATTGACGGCGGACCGCTGGCAGTGGGCACACGTTGACATTGGGCTGGCCTCGCTTGCCCTCTGCATCACGGTCATCCAACGCGCACGCACCGGCAACAACAAGGTACACGACACAATATGCCCGCGTGTGGTTGTGTGTGTGTGTGTGTGGTGTGTGTGTGTGTGTGTGCTGTGTGCACCTGTGTGTGCACCTGTGTGTGCACCTGTGTGTGCACCTGTGTATGCATGTGCGAGTCGGCTCAACGTACATGCTGAATAGCCAACCGTTTCGGTCACACACGTGTGCGTGGTGTATTGTTTGTTGTGTAGGCGCTGCTGGCTGTTCGTGATGGGCTGACGGCATGCACGGAATTTGCGGCGATGCTGGGCTGTTGTGTAGTGCTTGGCATCTTGGCCGGTGTCTACATCACAGAGTACGTTTGGCCTGTTGTGCTGCCCTCCTGCAGTGGCAATCACGCCATTCATTGAGCATGCGCGCGCGCGCGTGTGTGTGTGTGTATGTGTGTGTGTGTGTGTGTTTGTGTGTGCATGTGCGTGTGTGCGCACGTGCATGTTTGTGTGTGAGATTTCACGCTTCACACTCGGGCATGCATGTACCATGTTCTTGGCAGAGATGGCCTGTCTGGATTGCTGCACTGGTCGATTGTGACTGCCGTACTGTCATCGGAGTCTGCAGGCGTCATCTACAGCTCCCCCGCCGGCGTCAACTCCTTCTTCACACACAGGTGTTCTTCTGTACACACTGTGGAGGGACGTACATTGCTTGTGCATGCGTATGCGCGCGTGCGTGCGTGCGTGCATGTGTGTGTATGTGTATGTGTGTTTGTGTCTGTGCCTGTATGTGTGTGTGTGTGTGTGCTTGCATGTGTCTGTTTGCAATTTTCCCTCATGAAACGTGTGTGAACGTATGTCCAACGTTCCTTCACATGCGGATGCAACTCCAAACACAGGCAACGACTGCCCGCACGTGTTCGCCTCCATGTGTCCGTCCTCGTCGCCATGGCCGCATGTGCCACTCTCGCATCACGCATCCCTCGTCCTCGATTGGCAGCAACCCTGGCAGGTGTGTG